GCCGGCAGAGGAATCCTACTCCTGAGCAAGGCCCTTCACCCCCACTGCTCCAGGGGCGCCGTATAAATGGCTGACCCTGCGCTCTGACCCCCAGCTTCTCTTCATGTCTGTGTTTCTCATGGAGAGCAAGTTGGGGTATGCGAAAAGACAAATTTCTAACCCAAGAAATTGTATATGGCCAATAAAATCTCTTTAGCAGGTAAAGACATTCGGTTTCATATGGTCTGCTCCCCTCTCCAGTGAAGGGACATCTGTTTATTCTCCTCTCCTGTCAATGAGTCAGATCAAATCAAACAGGCTGAGGATCAAAGAAGGAGGGTATGTCTTTCATTCTACATTGCACTTGTAAATTGCCAACCTCAGTCTGTATGGGCCCAGTTTGTATGCTCTCTGTTTGGTTTACAACTTGATTGCAGATCTCTATTATCTGTTTATCACCGGACAATAATAAGTTCACACAGGTCAGGCAGCAGGCCATAGTGTGGACCCTCAGGCTAAGCTTGACTGGCGCTTAATGTATCCCTGCCTACTTACAGAGGCCAAACACACTGTCTAGAAAATTTTATACTTTATTTTGTACTTATTTCCATTGGCTTCTTCCAGTTCCCTAGGCCTAAAGGCATGGGTTTGTTTGCTCTCTGTATTGCGGTGCCAGAGGGCTCACTTTAATGGGGGTTGACAGATTGCATTGCTCTTGATCGCTGTGTCTGAGTTGTATGGGCCGGGGCAGCAGAACATGATGAGTGAATCTTTGACACCTTCCCCCTGCTTATTACAGTGGGAGCTTGACATTTCATTTCACGGTACAATACCCCGATAGCTGAACCCGTTATTGTTATTAGGGCTTTGTTTCTTCTGCCTATACTATGTAATACTGTATAAAGAATTAAAGATGACTAATACGGTGCAGAGCTTTGACCTTTTTGTAGTTTTTTTTAACTTTATTTCCACTGCAGTGTACAGTGTTTTTTTTAAATGTCATTTGAGTATTGTTTTATGGTTGGACGGTGCTATGTCTGTCTTAATTTTTTTATTATGAAATAATGATTTGTGCTTGTCCGGATATTCATGTTTGTCATTGCGGCCGTTGTGTTCGTCACCCTGTGCAAGAGCCGGGCTGACAGAACGATGAGTGTTATTTTACGGGCAGATGCCAAGTAGTGTCTTTTGCAATCTCTTGGGTGTTGCTTTGGAATACTTTGGATAAATGCATGCCTGTGTAATTAGTAGTGTAAACATTGATCTTATACCTTTATTAGCATAGCGGTATTGGTATTGAACCAAGGCAGTCTCTGGGGAGTAGAACAAATGCTGTTCCTTTGTCAGCTGTGCTTTAGAATTGTACATTACTGGAGAAAAAATACACTTTATCTGGTGAACTCATGGAGTTTTATTCCTTTACTTCTAGAGGGTAAATGGCGTTCTGGAGAGCCCGACTGGCACAGGGAAGACTCTGTGCCTGCTGTGCGCCTCGCTGGCTTGGAGAGATCACTTCAAAGACACTATTTCCGCCAGGAAGATAGCCGAGAAAATGGGCGGTGTGGAGCTCTTTCCTGACAGGCCTCTGTCTTCATGGGGCTCTTCTGCTACAGATGGAGACACACCTGGTATATGTTCTTTAATATCCATGTCAAGCTTTTGCGCTAGTGGTTGTATTAAAATGACCGGGAGTTTTTTAAAAAATCAGTGTTTCCTTAGTGTGCAAGCGTTGTGATTTTCTCTCGTAATATGCTGTGCATGCATGAGGGTTTTGCATCATTCTTGAATACTTTATCACATTGCATAAACATTAATATGATTTAAAAATTCTATGAAATAGAATTAGGTAAGTATGAAGTTCAGATTAGTATGTAAACTGACGTTTATTTTCATATGAGTCTGCAAGTCAAAACATGAATATTAAGAAGAACAAAACTGTTTGGGCAGTGATTCTTTGCACTGGAAAATCTCGAATAAGCAGCAACTTGTGGCTGAAGTGATGGATGGGAAGATAGATCAGAATGTTCACTGCTATTGTGTAAAAAGATCTTAGTGACCTAAATTATGAACGTCTTCAATAAAAACACTGACATGTTGTCCCTTCTATAACGCTGGTTATTTATTTGCCAGACCATTACATTTAAAAGAAAAAACCTTGTTTTACATAATTTAACTTCACTAGTGTGGAAGAATCTAATTTGGATCGAACTGAGCTATAAGTTTCAATTTATTTTGTCAGATTAGAAAGCTTTTAAGTCAGTAGTTTCTGGTGGTTCAGTATAAAACACCATTGATAGCTGCTCTGATTTCTCTCATGTCCCTGTTTTTTTCTATCCGAACCAGTCCTTTAAATCTCTTTTCACAGGAAAAAATTGTTTTTTTTCCCAGTAACCGGATATTCTTTTTCCCTAAACCGTTTTCTCTTTGAGGGCTGCAGATCTGACCAAGCTTATGTTCCACAGAAAACAAAATATACAAATCTGCGAATGAAGTGTTTTCTGTAGTTAACCGGATGTTCGATGGATTGCAACACTTTCTAGGATACTGTACTTCCCGGCGCTAAATATGTTTTTAACAGTAGGATGCTATTCCGTTGTTTGAAAATATTTTCTGCCCGTATTTAAAAAGTTAATTCTGCCTCTTCAGCTGTTTGCCTTTCAAAAACCTCCTAAGAAATGAATGAGTGGGTTAAACTGTGAAAGCAGATGTGGGGGTGTGGTGCAGAATTCTGCCTGGCACCCCTAAGCATAGAACTCAAGCACAGAGACAGCTAAACTCTTCCATCCTTTTCTCTGTATGACCCAGCTGGAGCTAATTTCACGTACACAAGTACTCCACCCATGTTCTTACTGTTACACAGCCTGCTTTATCTCCTGTTAGTACAAAATACAGTTCTAGTTCTGGGATAAAATTCCCCCGTCTCTCAAATCGTTAATCATTAATAGATTGGAAATGTTTTTTAGCATTCGTACGGCACTTTCATTAACGAGCTCAACGTATTCGTTCTGTAAGAGTCTTTTATGGGTTCCCAGCATGTTTTGCAGTGTCTTTATTTTTTTCCCCTCCTGGATTGTGTGTGGTGGATGAGTAGGGTCAAAGGTTAACGACAGCGTGGCTGTCGCAGGCGGCGGGGGGACAGTCCAGAGGAAAATAGGGTCATGTAACAGATCACCCTGTGAATATAGATGAGCGAACGTGAAAAGACTGTAGACGGTGCTAATAGAAATGCAGCAAAGGACCGCGGAAGGGGGAAAAATAATGAGGCCTGTCAGTGGAAATGATCCATTTACCTTAATTGGATAATTAGATACAATGAATTTGGTTCAAAAATAAGTCATCGAGTTTTCAGATAGGCGTATAAAGAAAGAGATTGAGGCAATATAAAGCATTTTATAGGAAATGTCCTTGTGTGTTTGCAGGAGAGCATGTTGGTCACAGAAATTTTCTGTGCAACCGCATGTACCCCTGGTTTATCAAGAGATACTGTAAATGTATAAGTTGAAGGATCTGACTTGAGTGTAATGAAGCCGGCTTAACGTTTTGAATGAAAATATCTTCTGATTTTTTAAGATGATACATTAGACCTTTGGAAGATTTCCTCTTGCTGCTTCAGTTCTCTAAACAGATCACAGTTAAGATCACTTCAAGTTGCCTCAGTCTAGATTGGGATAGAGGCTGGTCATTCAGATCGTCCATGTGAGGTTTATAGTGAGCAGCACTGTTAATATTCCCTTTTCACCAAAGGCTTTTTGTTCCTTCCAGTGCTATAAGAATGCATCTCGGGGAGGGTTTGCATGCTTTGTCATTGTGTGAGGATTGTGTGCAAAGAAACAATGACAGAGTCGAGGGAGTCGGAACGGGATTTGTGTCAGTTGACTTTTTTCTTTCTATTGAAGAACTTTTCATTTTCTGTGACATGCCAGGGTGCATGCATATTTATGGTTTTCAACCTTTAATAAGAACAGTGTTTCCTTATTCAAAGACCGCATGCCTGTGCTATTATTGTTGCTGCTGTAAAATTTTGCAGAGAGATATAACTCCTGCCTTTGACAAATGGCATTCATTTTAAGTAAGGCACTGGCGTATCTGTAACCCAGCTTTCTTTGGCTAAAGCACTGACTTTAAAAAACATGCAGGACATGGTCAATCACTTGGTTAATGTCACTCATTAAAGCTATGTTTACTTTGTATTCGCAAAACACCTGACGTGTAACCACGTTTTTTAAATGGGTGTCACCATTTTTTGCATTTTTATTCCCCCAGTTTAGACTTAATTGTTAGACTTAATAGTAATTGAATAATTGTGTGTTGTCAATCAATTCGGCTCACTGCACATGACCTCTATATGAATATGGGAGAGAGGAAGGCCACACATTTCTCCTAAGCTTGCATTGTGCACCCACCTGTGTTTTCCTGCACTGTCTGTGCAACAATGCGTATAGCACAGCATGGCAGTGGCTGAACAGCTTCTCTAGCTCTTGTTGTTTGCTGCTCCTTCAAGGGCATTTAGCAAACAGTGCCGGCTTCTGTTCTGGGGTGAGCTGAGGGTACTTACCCACCCAGTGCCTGTATCAGTTTGACAATTTTCTTCATGGCCTGGAGAATCCAAGTCGCAGCCAGCAGATGACATAACTCTAGACTTGAGCCAGCGATGTGTGCAGAGTAGGTCTTTACTCCTCCCAAACAGTAGCACATTTGATTTTGACAGGTCTGGACATACAACTGAAAACAACAAAAATTTCACAACTTGTCCCGGGTTTCTACTTTATGCATTTTTGAAAAACTTTGAGTCCTTTGTGACACTGTGCCTAATTTTCTGTTTGGATGGATGGATTCAAATAATGAGCAATTTCTGCCAAATAAGTATAAACGTATCTCATCAATAAATGTAATGCATGTATTTCTAACATGCTATTAAATGGAATTTAATTTTTTTATAAACAGGTGAACACGTGCAACATTTTAATCAAATGTTTTTGAACAGTTAAGGTTAATCTTAATGTTATTTTTAAAGATGGATGCTTTATTACACCTAAAATCTGTTGTTTTTGTTTTCCAGCTTATTACACAGATATTCCGAAGATTATTTATTCATCCAGGACACATTCCCAGCTAACCCAGGTCATCGGTGAGCTAAAGAACACTGCATACAGGTAAGAGCTCGTTTTCGTCCACGCCATCATCCCTAAGGGATATAAACGGACATAAATTGTATTTCAAAACGGTTTAGATCTGCTATTATAGGGCACTGTCTGTGAAATCTTCCGCACAGTCAGTTCAGAATTACACATGAAGGCGTTCAACACAGCTGTTGTGGTCGAAGCGCCGGGTGACCTCATTTGATATTGGGCTGGTTGTTAAAATGATTCTGTATCTGTAGATTGTAATGCTCCAGGCTGTTTCAGCACTTTGAACATTGGAAGATATTGCTACCTAGAGACTGCCTTTTATCTATTCAAAACTGCACAGTATGATATGCCGACAAATAATAATGTTTCCTAGTTCATGCAGCTGGAAATAGCTGTGAGCATTTTCCATTTTGGCCAGTTTTTTTGTAGTAATTAAAAGCCCTTTCATATGGGATAATCAATCCAGTGCTTCTTGTGCATTTAACACTGATGTGGCAACGCAACACTTGATCTTTAAGAAACCGAGGCTCTTCACAGTATGTGTGCATGCAGCAAGAGGTATCTTCGGTGATTTGGTTAACCTGTTTTTGGCGGAATTGGCGGTTTTTCTCTTCTGGATGTGCTGAACTGTTATGTATCTGCCTTTTCCTCTCAGGCCTAAAGTGTGTGTACTGGGATCCAGGGAGCAGCTGTGCATCAACCCCGACGTGATGAGACAGGAAAGTAACCACATTAAGGTAATAAAACAGGGGAATGAGATAAAACAAGGCACTTAAATCCCGTTTATCGCTGGCTCACATCAGCCGAAGCCTAATCGCTTTTTATGGGGCGCTCGGAATTCTCCTAGTTGAGCTCTCTGCTTCTGTCCCACGTTCCTCGTTGCTTCGTATTTCTGGGCAGTGAGCTGCAGGGAAAGTCGGAGTGCTCACCTCTGCTCCTGGGGTTTCTAGCTTGGGCCCAGAAGGACTTGGGAGGAGGAGTCAGTTCAACCCGATGTACCTCTGACAATTATGAGTCTAAAGTGAGAGGAGTTGTCCTCCAGGCAAAAATATCCCATTAGCCATGTTGAAATTATTTCCATCACATTCGAATGCTAACAGCTCTGAGAACAGAATGGTCAAGCAGTACAAATCCTTTACTTAAAAGCCCAGAAGATGCATACAGCATACTGTCTTGAACTCCAGGCTTGGCCCATTGCATTCCTGCCTTATGAGGGTTGTAAAATGCTGCTGCATACTGTACATACAAACCTTTTATTTAGGAGAGACATGAGAAAGCTTTTAAAATGGTTTCATTGCCCACGGGGTTGAAAACCTGGATTTCCGCCAGTCCTGAAAACGAGTGTGTCCCAGCTCTTTTCTCTGCAGTACCCAGCCAGCGGTTTCAGGTTTGTCTTCAGTTGAAGATGCCAAGGGCAGCACCGTGGTGCAGTGATTAGCATTGCTGCCTTGCAGCACTGGAGCCCTGGGTTCAAATCCTGGAGTGCTATCTGTGTGGAGTTTGCACGTTCTGTCCACATTTGCGTAGGTTTCTTCCGGGTCCGTGGTTAATAGGCTTCTCAGAAACCTGGCCCTGGTGTGAGTGTGTTTGAGTGTCTCCTTGTCCATCTGCCCCCGCGATGGACTGGCATCCAGTCCAGGGTGTGTCCTGCCTTGTGCCTGTTGCTTGTGGGGATCGGCTCCCACTCCCTGTGACTCTGTACTGGAGGAAGCGATTAGAAAATGGATGGATGGCTGTAAATGCCTACTTTTGCACAGCAGTTCAATTAGGCTGTCCGAATTAGTTTCAAGATCAATCCAGAAAATAATTTCTAATCCAGAAAATGGATTAATTTGACTGTTCCAGATAGAAGCACTTTGGAGAGCTGTTGTATTTTATTTTTCCTGTTTATTGAACATTTCATCGGAACAATTTATCTTTATTTATATCCGGATTTCTGGATTAGATAATGTCACTATTTGGTTTGTGGTTCAATTATGAAAATTTGTAACATAAATTATAAAGATATATAATTTTTAGAGAATGTTTCTGCTTCCCTTTCTTTTTTAATAAGCTGTTCAGTGGAATACGTTAACAGCATTTTTCTCGTTGTTATTGATCTAATGCCTGTACCAGTAGTATATACAATACGTAATGACATGTTTCCTTCAAAGTATAATCTTTCTTTAAATTCATGTTGCTGCCATGCGTGTATATTTTGATCTTTAAGAGAAAAACACGAATTGTGTTCCAATTCAAAAAAAGGTGTAATCTTTACAGAATTTGTGTGCCTTTTATTGTTTATGTGAAGTTGTTTAAAACTTTAATTTCTTTTCAGGTACACATGTGCCGAGCCAAGATGTCAACTCGCTCCTGTCTATTCTACAACAATGTTGAAGGTAGTCACCAGATTCCATTATTACTGGAGAATAATCATAATAGTTTTCTGATTACACAAGATTATCTGAAGGAGTCTTCATTTTCACCTTTTCACACCCTTAAACGCCAAATTGCCTAAATAGAATTCTGATTCCTCTTTGTGTATGTGAAGTCAGTCTTAATAGCCATGGACAGCTGTAATACACATGTACAGTAAACATATACCCACGTGGCGCAGTCCCAGACAGTCCTAAGTGAACGAGTGTTGAAAGGTGAGCAGACCGGTCCACAGAGAGATCAAGAATGATTAAGACAAAGGGAGGCAGCCGGAGCTGAGTGAGAGAGCTGGTAACAGGGCAGCAGCTTGTCCTGAGCTCCGGGTGAAAGCCAGGCTGGGGAGCAACACGCAGCCACTGCTGGGAGAGGAAAGCAGAGAGTCTGTGTGGCGCCACCTGCCTGAGGGGGACAGAGAGAGGGGAGATGGAAGACAGGGGGATGGATCGGGAGAGA